CCCCCAGCCTGTGAGCCAGCAGCACGAGGGGAAAACACATCAGCCATGAACAAAACAGACGCGTAACCAGCCACACATCCTCTTTCCCATATATATATATATATGTGTATGTATGTATATATGTATGTGTCTCATTAAGTGTGGTAAGAGAATAAAAGTTTTATATTATTTACATCCACTTCTAGGGAGGGGTGGGAGGGATTTATTTTTATTATTTTTTATTATTAATGGACTTTGCTATGATGCAGCCCATAAAACTCCTCTTCCACACGCACAGCAGAAACCCAGTGTCACATTGCTCTGGTGGGGATGGGATGGGACGTTCGGGGACAGGGATGGGGCCCGGCCGTCAGTGGCAGCCGCACGATTTCACCACCATGTTGCGGTGCTTCTTGAGGATGACGTTGTTGTTGCTGTCGTAGTAGAGGACGGAGGTGGCACTGAGCTTCGTGGGGGCACAGCACGCCTTGGGCACGGCCTCGGGCTTCATCAGGTGGACCTGGGGGATGGATGGATGGATGGATGGATGGAGCCTGTGAGTGCCGGCGAACGCGGCTCCGGGCAGAAGAAAAAGCATCAAACCAGCTCCTAACTGCAAAAAAGCCTGGCTGAATGGGGAGACTATTTCCAGCTTTTTGCAAAAATATTTATTCTAAACTTCGGGCAGTCCTTGCTGCAGTTTATATTGGATCTGGGCTTGTGGCACTGCGTGGGCCAGGCAGCCCCTTCATTAATTTGGGATTTCTGGGCCCTTTTCCCCCTGTAAATAGGCAAATGGCTGAAAAAAAAAAATCAGGGCAGCACACTCCAGTGTGGGTGTGGGGGGGTGCTGGATGCTGTTGCAATGGAGATTCTCCTTCAGGGCTCAGCGCCACCCCAAATTAACACATTGCATTAAAATCTTAAGCACCCAACACCTTTCTGAACACCACTCTCCTTCAGCTCGCTCGTCCCCTCCTCAGGACATGCGTTATCCCAGTAACTCGCTGTACAGCACGAGCTGGGAGGCTCGCGGGCTGCTGGACGCACGCAGCCCTTGCTGGCTTTACCCGACATGTGCGATTAATTTCTTGCAGGGGCAGCTGAGCTCTCCCAGTTCGGAAGTCCGGTGTTTTTGCTGTCAAACCCTGCTATTTGCAGCACAGCCCGGGGCTGGCACAGCTCCCCGGCCACGTTTGCCCCGGCGCTTCCCAGAAGGGTCGGATCCGGGCGCCAGGTGATTCACATCCTGCCCGAACAGCTCCGTTTTGGGAAGAGTGTTGGGTTTAGGGGTGATGGGTGGGTGTAAAGGGGAAGGGGACCCCTCCCCACCGCTGCCAGGATCATGCCCGGCCCTGGACGGGGCCTCTGGCAGCTTCAATAATGCAAAAATTAAACCCCGCCAGGCGACACCTTCAAAGGCTCGGCTGAGGACTCGGCGCTCCCTGTAATTAACCGCGAACACCGGAGCCGGTGTGACTCTGCCATTGGGAAATCAAACACTCACAGGGCAGGAAATTCCAGAAATTAAAGCGCTGGCTGGGATGCAGGGTGGGTTTGGGAAAAGAAACGGGGCATTAAAGCCTTCCTGCTTGGAATATGCTGAGCCCAACGTTTGGGCGCTGAGCCGCAGCAGCGCTTCACGGGACCTTGGACCAAACCCTTGTGCACGGCTGGCGAGGAGGACGCGCGGGTGACACGATGCCCTTCCCCACCAGCTGACAGGGGAGCACCCATCCAGATGTGCCTGCACCCACTGGTGCTTTATTGGGAGCTGGAGCTCAACTACCCCCTCCCACCCAAACGCTCTCAAAGCCGGGCATGCCCAGCCCCAAATCCAGCCCTCCATCGGGAGCCAACTGCTCCCCCAGGGTCCCCCCCAGGGGCTGCCATCACGGGTTGTACTGACCAGGGACTGCAGGATGGCATGGTTGGTGGCGTTCATGCAGGAGTCCAGCGGGAAGGCACACTCCCCCTCGCAGTAGTAGGCTGAGTACCCTTGCGGGGCAATCACCCAGTCCTGCCAAAAAAAAAAGGGGTTACACCATGGCTTCACCCTTTCTGCAACCCTTCATCCATTCCCTGTCTGAGAAAACAACCCAGCTGGCTCTTCCCCGGGTGGTCGTGCCAGCAGCAAGGGTTTATTTTGATTTTTTTCAGCCTGAACCATGTGTTGTTCAGGGTCACCGGTGGGGTTTGGGGTTGTGGCAGTTCATGTTTGCCTTCCCAGCTCCTGGGATGAGGCCGCAGCACCTCCCGGCTGCCCCACTCTGCTCACAGGGCTGCAGATCGCTTCATGGGCAGGAGAAGCTGGGCTGGGAGGGAGCCCAGGCGGGGACAATGATGGGGTTTTGGGGTTTTTTTTGCATTCATTTCTCCCAGTAGGTAAGTACCAGCCAACCGAGGTCCTGAAAGCTGACGTAGAGCTCGTGGCGCCGGCAGACCTGCCGTCCGTCCGTGGCGTGGACGTCATCTGCAGGAGAAGGGGACAGACAGCATCAGCCCCGCGGTGTTGGCGTCCCACATCCCACCCCCCAGCTGCAGCCATCACCGCTCAAGGCTGGGATTGAACAGCCCGTACGGTCAGGGCTAGTCCAGAAGAACAAAAGAGGAGCCTCCGCTGTTGCACAAAGGGAAAAGAAGTTTCAGACCAGCCTGAAATGTGGTGCTCAATGTCGGGACGAGGGGATTCAGCCTGGGAAGGGCTAAATCCCGGCTCTGCCCACAGAGGACTTGGCTTTGAGGGTTTGCCAAGGTAAATGGGTTCAGGATTGCTGGGGCTTCCCGCTCCCCTCTTGCCTGAGCGGCTTCCTGGGCCCGTGACAACCTCCTGGGGTGATGTCCTCCTAGGGTGGCTTCA